TATATATATATATATATATATATATATATATATATATATATATAAATTATAAATTCTGTTACACACACGCTATTTCAATAGGAGCAAACTAACTACAAATTAGGTGAGGACTGGGAAAGGTATACGCGATGCAATTCAATAAGATCCAGAACTTTGTGCTAGGGACTGAGCGATACAAAACAAAATACAAGGATATTTTATCACTAAAGATACTAAGAATATCTTGGTGATAAAATACCCTTGTATTTTGTTTTGTATTGTAAATGAACTGCCAAAAAGATATTCCTTCCTATTTCATGAATCTTTTATCAATTCATATACAATTAAGAGACATTACGGAAGTCACCAGTTAAACAACAAACTCAATGAATAATATGTATAGTCAACTGAAAAATAATACCCTCAGTCGTAGATGTGTTGAGGAACTTAAATTTGTTGCTACAGCAATAATCCCACGTTCATGACAAGTGCAAGAACTGAGATCTAGCACTTCAAGTAAGCGTAATGAAGACAACATCTGAAAACAGCGTCAACTGATCCCCTAATTAAAATTGAAATAGATAACTGTCACCAGTTTTGTCACGTCTTCAAAGAACTGAGATTTGCATTGCGATAAAAAACGGATCAAAAAAAAGCTTCTCCAGATATATGCTTCATTAGAACTGATTTTAGCAGCGAATATACGAGAACAGCTTCGTTTGATCTTTGCAAACTTCTTTTGATTACCAAACAATGGTTTATTGAGCACAAAAAAAAGAGGTCAACCCAAATTGCACTAAGCGTTTTTCACTGTCTCAATAATCTAAACTTCCGTTTCGTGACAAAATCTAACTAATAAATACAATGATTACTTACTTCAGCGACAGCAATAGCACCATCAACATTTAATGTATTTCCACTGAGAATGATGACTTTCAACTCTGGATTACTTCTGAATGCGTGAACCAGTTCTATCATGCCTTCAGCAATGGTGCCATTTTGGCTTAGGTTCACTTCTTCTAAGCTTTGCATATTCTGCAGCGGATATGGACAATAAAATTTTCTAGAGGAACACAATCTGATGCTCTCTTTATTTACATGATTTCAATTTGCTATAGTAGCTATTCAGCAAGTCTTCCCCATTCTTAATTGAAAAAAATAATACTTTAACATGGACTACAAATAAAATATATTAGTTGCCGAAGAAAAACTGATCAAAACTTATTTGGAAACTTTACACGTATCAATTCCATGCATAAATAGAAGACATTTTAAATTTAAAATAATTTTATAAGAGATTATTCACCATCTGCATGCGTTCTCGCAGAACTTCTGCAATTCTCCTGCATGCGCCAATACCTATGTAATTTTCACGCAAATCCAGTACCTTCAAAAACTTCTGTGACAACAATGCCTGAGTAACGGTTCCCACTGCAAATGAAATTCATATACAAAGCTTATTTCGCCATTTGTTATGAGCATTTCTGTTACTTTTTTCTTACATTCCTTATCACCAGTCAGCAACAAAGTTTGCCACAATATGATTATTGTTGGTGACTTCATAAAAGAAATGACAGTAACAGATATATTGAGGGACAGAAATGATAAGTAGACGGATAGGCTGTTTCACATATCAATAACACAGAATCTAACAAACAAAATTATCTACAGCAAAAAGTAACCTATCAATAGAAAATAACAAAAACACGTTCTGAAAAGAAAAGCTTAATACTGTTAAATAGAAATCTTTGTTCCGAAAATTTTTTAAGGCGAAGGAAACCATAGATAAATTTAAGAAAAGCTAGGCTCACCATCTTCTTCAGAGTTCCACCGTTGATTTCTAAATGAAATTACTGTTTGACAGCTATCAGATTCCAAAGACTTATTAATTGTAACATCTGGAATTGTTTTGAAACTATCAGTATTTTCCTCCAGCAAAAAATTTCGGATCAATGTCGTGGAAGAGTTTTCGCATGTGCAAAACATGAAGAGACTTCAAGTCCCACTATCCTGATCATAAATAATAGAGCAGTCCGTTACTGGTTTTGTTATAAAAGAATGAGTTCAACGAAAGAAATTGATTTGCTATTGATACAGCCCCTCCGTATTTCCCCAAAATATAGAAAATATATTTCAGGGAAAGACGAGTTGAAACGAAAATACCGTGAGTAGTATTGCCATCTTCCACTTGTTCATCACCACTTTCATTGTTCGAATAACTAAAATGGCTTTCTTCCGAATAAAGTTCCTGATAATCGTCACTCTCTTCATCCTCATCCAGCGTCCCTTGATCATCACTGCAATCACGCTTCGAGTATTGAAAACTTACGCAGACTACTTTACTGAGCTAAAGGCAACAATTTAATAACAGGAAACGCGATATGAATATATCGCGAGACAAAAGTAAGCAAGGTAAAAATGATCTTAGCATCCACCTACTAGCTAAAATAAAGGTCTAAACTGAAAATAGTGAAGGGGATAGACGAGGAAGTTTATTGGGTAACACTGTCAGTTTTTGGTAGGAAATTCATATATGCGCTGTTAAACGTGTAGCCTAAATACGTACTGCTGACTTTTTGGGAATTGAGGAGGAAAAACAGAAGCCAAAATTTTTTTCATTGGCTTTTTATAGAAGCACCAACCTTTCCTCACCCAAATCAATAAAATCATATTTGTCACATTTTGATTTAACTTGAACAAATCGAGCTCCCATATTGTTTGTGTGCAACACGAGAGATTTCAAATGCAAGCCCTGACTGACTTTATCGAGTATTATTTCGACCACGCGCGGACTCAGTTCATTCCCCGACAAGTTGATTTCCTAAAATATACGACTCTAGATATTCTCTATATGAAAATATATAAATCACTACATTCTGGAAAGAAACAAAAAGCAAACTTTCCACTACTCCTTGACTATTTCGGTATCTATTTCGCCTTTGTCGAAGCGGAGTTTTATATGCTCTCGTATTAGTTTCTTCTTTTTTAAAATATTAACCTAAATTTTGTTCTAACTGAAAGCCGGTTCAGTACCGTACACCTCAAGAGAGGGATTCAAATAACGGCAGTGAACACGAGTAATGAGAAAAGTATTGGAGAAGGTGAAGTATGTCCAAAGTAGGTGTCGAAAATTCACATCTTAGAACGTACGTACTCATTCAAATAGAATTACTTCCTTCAGTCAGATGAAAAAAAAATTCCAGACCTTTAAACGCGAATGGAACGGCAACGAAATATTTGAAATTATAGCTAGAGCACCTTTGTCTCGGCACAAACAATCTCCAAAATTCAAAACTTCAAGATTCATCAAATCTCGGACTACCTAAAAAATAGCAAACTTATTTAAATTCAAAACAACAGTTTACTAGCATCCATAAGAATACCTGAGACCCAGCTACTATAACCTATTATAATCACGAGCGTCATTTCACTCTGCAAGGATCAGTCTCGTGAAATTACTTTAGGTATTTGAATTTCAATTTTATACTTCATTGGTATTTTCACGATTTAAATTCAAAACAAAGTACCAGATATAACTATTTTATATGGATAAAACAATATGCAGCGCTAATACAGAACCGCAGAAAAGTTATGTATGACAAAAAGAATATTTGCTAGAAATAAGTTTCAAATGCAAACAACCAAACTACCTTTGCCATTGCACGAGCCCCATTTACAGTGAACGTGTTATCACTAAGGTTGATTATCTTTAAACTCGGATTGTAAAGGAATGATTCTGAAAGAGCTTCAATTCCCTTGGCTCTTATGCCATCTTGATACATCACTATCTCTTCCAAAGAACCCAAAACCTAAACAAAGTTGCAATTCATTTCCGACTTCTTGAAATGCAAATTAAAAACGAAATTCAGCTAATTTTCAGTGAATCATGGTTTCAAATGGAACTGCTCAGTTTTTATTTTTTACGAAATATGGTTGGAGCCCAGCAGTTCTAGTAGAAAAATATTTTTATCAACGATACTTGAAAAGCTTTTGCTAGAGCAACAGCTCCAGGGTCCTCCAGACGATTCCTACCGGCAATAAAAGTCTTTAGCCGAAAATTTTGTCCTTCTCTTTGCGCATTTGCATGGCATGTTATAAGTGCTTTTCCAATAATCTGAAATTTCTAAATGGAGTAGGAATAAACTTGTTAGAGATGAATTCACAAATTGATCCACGTCCAGTCATTGGCAGTTAGTCTACTGAAGCATGAAAATATTAATTCACGGCACAATATTTTCAATCGCAAATACTCAAAATTAATAATTTACCTTCCCTCCAGCTCCTAAGCCATTGTTATTCAATTTCAACACTTTTAGCGAATATGCCGAAGAACTTTCCAGGAACTCTTTGAGTTCCTTTGCAGCGATTGGACCAAATGCGTTGTCCGAAAGATCTAATTCAACTAATCGCGTCCCACACTTGATCATAGCACCACACAGGGAACGCTGCAAATTTCATTCCCTGTTTTAGAAATAAGCGTATGTAATTGCGAAGTCCTTCAGTCTTTAGTACACTGGATAATGGAAGCCAGAATACTGGAAGTTGAATAGGGAACTTGATCTGAGCAAAATATATTTTAGTGATATTTTCGATAATTAACCAAAAGCATGTTTTTCTGAACGTAAGAACTCCTAACACCAGTTATATTATGTAATAAAATCAGTTAAAGTAGTGAATTGCAGACGATTTCCTCGCGATTAAACCCGCATGTTCAGAAATAAATAATGACAACTGAAGTCGAACCAGAATTGGGGGAATCTCTTCTTTCAATCGTCCGGTAAACAAGTCACTCCACAACGCTCGCTGGAAGTAATAGCTTGAAATTAAACAAGAATTAAGATAAAGAATCATATCCGTTTATAGTCAATGAAGCCATATCTAGGTAGGAATTTCATCGAATTAATTTAATAAAAAATCGTTGACTATCTCAAATCAGTACCCGAAAAAACTGATCGTCTAAATTTGTAAGAAACCACTGAAATGGTAAGTTATGGTAAAAGGCAAGCTAAAACGGTTCGGTATTTTTGAGCTTTCTTTTTCCATAACTTATTTTGTTTTTCTTTCTTACTAACTCAAATGGTTTCGCTTCACGCATTCTGACTT